CTCTGTGATTACTGGCAGTTGAATGTTGTTGATCTGTTTTGCCCTTCATGACGTCAATCTCTGTCCTTCTCATTTGTCACGTGAAACTCGGAGGATGTTCTGGGGTTTCATTACAGGTTTTGTGGCACAACGTTGATAATATTGACCAGTCTATTCGTTTTTTTAATTTAACTTTTTTTTTTTAATAATGGTTTTAGATAGAACAATTATTACAATTTTGTCTATTTCTATGAGAATAGTGGAGTTCACACCACAACTAAAATCCAACAATACTGTTAAAATCACTTTTCAGAACATTTGATGAACAAAACAATATTGACAGTTAGAACCCACCCAGCTTTTAAGACCTCAAGCATTTAAGTTGCAGACGACATAACTGCAGTGCTTTTAATAAACAGAGCGTTCATTCTTGTAGGAGCTAAAATAGTTTTTGTTCTTCATGTGAACAGGCCTTAATATAATAGAATCGTTTCCTGACCTTGTCTATGTAAAGTTCTGTCCAATTTAGACTTTGTGATGATGTAACCTAGTAACTTTTGCAAAATACATCAATAATAGCACAATAGCATGCGAGGTAACTCTCTGTAAATCACAAGGTCTAAAGCACTGTTTACATGGAGTAATCTCTACTCGTGGGAACTGCGTATACACATAACTAGAAATTGATCTATTTAGACAAGTATTCCCACCTCAAAAGGATTATTTACAAAACTACATGCTTGACGTGTCTTTTAAACCCTCTGGAACACTGGTCTAGTGTATTTTCTTTGTAAATGCTTCCGTAGTTGTGATGTTTTCCATATATATTTTTTTTACATTGATAGAGCTTATCTTAAGCCAGAATATTGGAAGCTTTATCTCATATTGAAGTTATTGTGCTATGCTTGGAAAAAATTTTATTATCTAATGCTCTTGTCACTGTTTTGGAGAAGGTTGTGTAGGAACTGAAAGCATTTTGGCGAAGTTCAAGTTATGTCTGGCACCTCAAGGGCCCCACTAGGGAAACCATATTGCCATCATCCTCATCCTCCGTGATGAAGACAGTTGTGCAATGTAGGTCAAAGCAGCACTAGAGTCCAAGACCCTTCTGCTCTCATAATGTCACATCAGATGACGATCACAAGAGACCTGTAGATGCTCATATACACATATGCTGAATTATAAAGGTCACATGAACACAGACATACATTTCCAGACATGAATGCAGTCATCCATAAATCCAGGGTAGACATGTTCTGACTAAAGCAACTCAACACACCTGCACATTGACAGATGCTTTGACTCACATGGACACAAAGCACTTAGTCTTAAGCTCAGACAGGCCACAGACCGCCCACAGTTCATTCACTCACTGGCTGATGAATATTATACACAAAAATAACAAGATCTGCCTGAAATCACCAGTTCCAGTCTGATCCCCCCCCCATGCTTGTTTGTGTTATCAATTACAGATTTGAGAAATCAGAATAATCAGTTGGTGAGACTGAGTTTATTTCAAAGTTGGATCAAACTGTATTCTGATAGTCAGAAGTCTGGTCCTGCAATGCACACAGGCTCCATAACATTTTTGACTTTGTTCATAATATGAAACGTACAGTACTGTTCAAAAGTTTTGGATCAGTAAGGTTTTTTTTTCTTTTCAGTAAGATTTCTTATGATCACATTGGCCTAATTTATTTGATCAAATATACAGTAAAACAATAATATTGTTAAGTATTATTACAGTGTTCTCTATTTTAATATAGTTTAAAAAGTCATTTATTCCTGTGATGACAAAGCTGAATTTTCAGCAGCCATTGCTACAGTTTTCAGTGTCACATGATCCACCAGAAATCATACAATGTTTTGTTGTTTGCTGCTCAAGAAACATTTCTTATAATTATAAGTGTTGCAAACAGTTATCCTGCTTAATGTTTTTGTGGAAACCATGATACATTTTTCTTGTTGAGTTGCTGACAGCACTATTTGATTTAGGATTATTTAAAGAACAACTGGGAGCTCCTACACAACAAGTGTTCATTGTAAGTAGAATATTATGCATTTAAATTACATATTTTAACAATATATAACAACATTTTTTCTGTCTGTAGTAATTGTAAATGTATAGGATCTGGACTGGAAGATGCCAAATGTCATGGGTTCAATACATGGGGACTAAATTATTGTTTGAATAATTGCTCTAATTTTTACATAGGAGCTATTCATTCACACGTGAGAAATGTGTAGCTTAAAAAATACACATGAAAAGGAAATGGCACCATCAATATTGCATTATATTGTACACATTTTTAATCTGAAACCATAAAGGCACTTCCTAATAATACATCATATAGAAATCGTCTCAGGTTACGTATGTAACCCTAGTTCCTCGAGGGAACGAGACGCTGCGTCGAAAACGCTAGGGGAGCTAGTGGAGGTGCTTACTCGTGCCGTGGCCAAGCTAAAAATCGATTGGCCCGCCGAGAAGCAGGCCTAGCCGCAGCGGAGCAAGCTTGATGAACGCTTCCTGCGCGCGAGGCCGCCACCTCCATGCCGGAGCCTCGACGCAGCTCGAGTTCCTGAAGAGGAACTGCTTGTTCTCTCATTTCTGTACTGTTCTCCCTTTTAACTTCTGTTCTAGTTTTGTACTAGTCTAGTCGAGTTTAATCCTGAAACTTGTGCGGTGCATCACCTATTGTTGTCATTTACTATTATTGCTTGCAAAGTTCCTCATTTGTAAGTTGCTTTGGATAAAAGCATTGGCTAAATGACCATTAATTAGTTGTCTGTATGTAGTTTAGTGGATTAAATTAATCTCTAGTTGATAGTGAGAAGCTTTTTGGTTATATTTAGTTTGTTTTTCCTGTCTTTTGCTCGGCTTTCTGTTTCGGCTTTACTCTTTTTATCTTTATCCTTGTCTCTCTGAGTGACTAGTAGCACATGGTGCCCACATGTTGTGCCTTGCATTCTTTGTCTCAGTGTCCACACACACACACACACACACATGTACGTACTGCTTCACATTCCAGCCTCTAACAGCCAGCTCAAGTGGTTTTTACAGTTCATTCGCTCCCGTGTACTCATGCACCCTTTAGTCATATGTGCACTACTCAGTCATAGACACAAATTGAAGGTTTGTTAATTCAATAGAGCAATTAAAGCGTCCATTCACATGTGACGGTGCCATGGCAATATCAGTGTGCCTGAATGAACTGTAGTGTGTGTGTGTGTGTGTGTGTGTGCTTGTGTTGGTGAGAGAGAGAAAGATTTCGGCAAGGGGTATTCAGGCAGGTGCAATGACAGCTGGTCTGGGCAGCTCAAACCAAGGGGGAGGAAAAGAGTGGTGAAAAGATGAAGTACTGATAGTAGCATTGAGCACAAGAAAGAAAGAGAGCATTTGAATGAAAAAAAAGCATCAGCTCTGGAAATAGACCTGTTTTTGCGAGTGCCTTTTGATTTTCCATTGTGAAGCAATGGGCAGTTTTATGTTCCTCGCTTCAGCGCTTGTTTCTCTAGACAGATGATATTTTAATATGCCATATGAGTCACTGCACCAAAACCACAATGAGCTTATACGTGTTCATAAGGCTCGTGAGTGTGTGTGTCTGGAAGAGGAAGATGAAGTGTGTTTTGGAAAAGGCTCTGAGGGAGCAAATGTTTGCAGAATAGGGGGAGAGGAAACGTGAGAGAGAAAAGGGGGGTGGGGGTGGTACGAGTCTTGTGAAGACCATTTATAGCTTTGTGGAGAGAGAGATACAGTATATAGTCTTTATTGAAAGAGGCCACTTGATAGAAAGAAACCAAATTGGGAGGCCAAAGGGACGACACGGCAAAAATACAGCAGCATATATTTGAGGTTTGGAGCCTCCACTGGCACAGTTGGATTTTTGTTTTTGGAAACAACTAAAACTCACATAGAGAGATAGTGTTTGAATTTGAATTTGAATCAGGGTTTTGATTTGATTTAGAGCTATTAGGGAAGTTGGTTGTTAGTAGAGAGAGATAAAGGCATCTGACTTCAGAAAGAGAAGCAGACATATCTGTTTCATGGCCAGTGCCTTGCCAACAGCCCAAGGCCAAATATGTGAACTGGACTGATAAAAATAGCCAAACACAGCAGTATTTTTTAAAACAAACATGCTTATCTGAATCTGTGCAAAATCACATTTGGTCCCCAAAGTTTTGTATTACTGTATTCAATTTCTCTTCTCTTTTTCAGTCTCGATTTTCTGTTTTGCTCATGATTAGATGATGCTGGAACTTGCCATTCTGGATGTGTAAAGTTGGAGGAATCATAATCACATCTAACATATTAACTTCACATATTAACAGTCAATTAATGACATCCTCATCATCAAACAGTAGATTTATTTTAAAAAGTATTTTTTGTATTTTTCGTAAAGGATTTTCAGCCAGGCAGCAGGATTAATAGCAACATCAGACTACATGTTAACAGCATGCTAGGACAAGTTGATGTGGAAATACATATTTTAGTAAACTTTAATTTCAATTTTAATCCTTAGTTTAGAATGGGAAATAAAATATTTGAAATATTGCTACTAAATCAAACCTAAAAACAACACATGCACACAAGCTATTGTTCGTACTGCATTTTTTATCCTGTAATAAATGCAGACTTTGTGAACTTAAGAGACTTCTTTCAAAATCTTACTGACTCGACCCAAAATTTGAACAGAAGTGTTTGTATTTTTTGTCTAACTTAAAAAAAATAGATAAAAAAATACAGATATTTTATTTATTGTATAAATCATTAATACCCCCCAAAATATTACACTATCTAGACATTTGTACTACATTCCAGGACAAGTAGACACTGATCTTTACACACATCAATGAGTAACATAACCATCATTCCCATAAATGGTGAGATTAATAAAATCCACGGAAGTAATTGTGAAAAGTAAAGCAAATGGAAACATACCTTAATCAAACTGAAAAAAAAAACAGCTTAGAAATTTCTTCTGTTTCTGCAAACAACCTGGATAACTTTATTTTGTATGATGCATGCTTTGGCCCAAAGACTGACTTTTAACTGTTTGTGTGACACAAGAGATACTCCTAGTGGTGAAGAGGCAGCATTACACCGACCTTCATCAACTCTGGTGGGGAACAAGGAAATGCTATATAACTAACTGCCTTAAAGACAGATCTCCATACACGCTTACACACACACACATTCCAGAAACCTCTGTGCAACCAGCGTCACATTGTCTTTGCCTAGCTAGCTACTCTTTCCTCACTGGGTTTCTTTTCCTTCTGGGAATACTGCAGAATTTCTTAGAGCTGTAGGGAATTACTAAGAATAGCTGTAATTTCCATTTAGATTTTACTTCGAATATAGACGTATCTTTGATCCAAACAGATCATTTCCTTGTACTTCATGTTGTTTATGCTTATGTGTCACAGGAGGAGGCGATTCCAGAGCTGGAGATTGATGTGGATGAACTGTTGGACATGGAGAATGATGTAGACCGTGCTGCAAGGGTCAAGGTATCCTTCTCAAGAATTACAGATTCAGCATTTTATCACATTTTCCATTACATCTTCAGTTTTTAACAGATTTTACATTTGCATGACTTTTTGTCTCTTATTGTCCAACAGGAACTGCTGGTAGACTGTTATAAACCTACTGAAGTGAGTACATTATCTTGTATCTAAGAGCAGGCAAATTATGCACACATTGTTAGCAGAATCAAATTAGACAAAGATATTTCGGTTTTACTCATTTAAATAACATTAAGTAAGGAATAATTGACAACGGGCCATTTTTCTAATAATTCAATGGCCCTTCATCAGTTATTCTGCTTATACTATGGTAACCACTGTTACTTCTAATGGTAACTATGCGTTTCCCTGAAAATAACTGCTCACCTTAGAATGTTTGTCAACCAATCAGATTCAAGCATTCAATGGCCCCGTAGTATAATTCTCGTTGTAATGAGGATAAACACAGATAGGTGAAGATCTTTGCACACTGAGTACGAAATTTTCGCACGTCAAAAAATAAATACAACCTTACATTGTGTCAATCATGTTTACACACTGCCACCAAAAGTTTTGTCCATCATAAAAAACTTCGGATCAGGTTCGATTTTCTGCATTTTCGCATCCGTAGCAAGCATTATGTTAGGAAGGGATGACGAATGCGATCAAAATGAAAAAACGCATACGAAAATTTCGGACTCAGTGTGCAAGGACCTTTAGTCTGTTGTAAATGTGTGAAAATCTGCAGAATCTGAAGTGCCAACAATCCACCTCTCTGTTAAATTTGTTAAAAGATTTTTATTATTTTTTCTCTCTCCTCTGTAGGAGTTTGTAGCTGAATTGCTGGACAAGATCCGTGGCATGCAGAAGCTCAGTACTCCTCAGAAGAAATGAAGCTTCTCCCACCTCCACCTTTCCTCAACCAATCTCATCCCTTCTTTTCCAATTTTAGGGGCGTGACCTTTCACCCCTGAGCAGGTGCTCATCCAATCCCATTGCCTCTTGCATCCATTGGGGAGGAGGTGGAGGCAAAATTATGGGAGATTCAATCAGATCCTTATAAGCAGGGCTTATTTTTTCTAATTTTGTTGGTTTTATTTGTATTATTTTGTTCTGTTTCACTTTTTTTGTAAAGGGGGAAACATTTCATTGTTTTGAAATGTTTTTAAATGTATTCTATGTTAGTATACATTACTGTGCATATTATCTTTATGCATAGAATGGTTTTATTTTATGATTTTGGATTTTTGTTAGAATTTTGTTTTAATTTGGTTTCAAAGCTCTGTCTCAATGAACACATGGACTAAAAAACCTTTTGTAAAACTGTGACGATACTTGGTTTCAAATGACATCAGAAGAGATTTTTTACCCTCTGTTTTTGATTCTCCTGTTCCATGAATAAGTGTGCAGGAACATTCATGAACATTTTAATTAAAAAAAAAAGGAAAACTAATAAAGAGAGTGATTAAAGCTGATTTAAAGTGAGGGAGTTACTTTGGATTTGTGGTATTAACAGGGAAGGGAGCTGTGTGTAGAAAAAAAAAAATTGGGTCTTTTGATTTTTGTCTTTAATTTCCCCCTGTCTTACACATACCACAGACACACACACACACCCTGAAATTCATGGGCATCACCACCCTCAGGGATCAGAAGCAATTACCACACACACATACACACACAACCACAGCTGTGGCTCTCGGGCCTCACACACATCCACAGATGTGCACACTGACTCTTCCAGAGACCGATAGGGAGGGACTGGAGAGTAGGCTAGACAAGCTGCAGTGCGTCACGGTCACTGCCAAACGTACGTTTAGAATTAATCCTCACACGTGACTCTCCTAAATCATCTTTCCTAGGAAGCCATCTGCTCTTTTTGTCTCAGCCAATCAAACATTATAATAAGAGGGCTAATAGTCTCACTCAGTGCTCTTGAAAATCACCAATCCAACATTTCCAGCAGGTGTTTTAGGAGAGCTTTTCACATAACGTACTAACACATCACTAGCATCTGTAGATATCAATCATTCATTGATGCTCCTCCTCATCACATCTGAGTTCACTTATGAATGACATGAAGTCAGGTACAATGACAACTGTCCTGGATGTTTAACAAATGTTTTCTGTCTTTCTCTGCTCACTCTTTTTTTTTTCTTCTTTTCTATGGGCCCCACATTTGAATTTTCTGTCTTTGTTTCACCTGCTTCTCAGCATTTCATTTTACATGAGTCGCTCTACCTATACTTTCAGATGTTGCCTTAGGTTACATTTATGTTATGACAACCAAATGAATTGAATCTTGTTTGAGGAACATACAAGAAAAATAGCTGCATCAGTGGAAATCTTTTTGAAGTTTTATAATTAAAGGTTCTAGTACTTTTAATGATTCCTTTTTTTTCCCCTAGAAAAGGAAGTTATATACCAAGCAATTTTTAGATGCATTAACTATTAACATAAAATGGAATCAGTGCTGTTCATTCATTTCTTTCCTGTGTCCAATTAGACAGGATTGAAAAAATCAATTGGATTTAAAAGAGAAACAATATTATGAATTTAGGAAACATGTAAACAATTGAGTAAGACTGTACTCAATGTCATACCTTTTGGAGAAAAAAGTATCTTGTAGCAATACTAAACTCTTGTTTTTTTTGCCCAATTTTGTTACACTTTTATGCAACTTTAATAAAAAATATGTTCAATTACATTTTTGTGTGGGTGTTTCTTTTTCTGTACTTGACTGATTAAAAATTCTTATAAAATGTTCTTCTAAAAAATATGTTTCTCTTCTGTCCATTATGCAATAGTTCAAGTCGGTCTTTTTAGGGAAACCTTGTCAGTTGGTAGAAAGTTCATGGATTTTCAGCTCCAAATGCTATTGGCCAGTTTGACCACCTTACTGAAATCGATGAGACTGCGATTCTTCACCATCGAGCTTCTGATTGGTTCTCAGAAGTACCGAGGTCTGCGTTGATTGGCTAGCGCCTCAAAACGGCAGTGTGTTTTAACAAACGTATAAACGAAACGCTGAGGAAGTGGACTTGTCCGATGTCAGCTTGCCCTGATATGCAAATTCAGTCGACAATATGTAATATTTTTCATGACTTAAACAATAATTGACGAGAAGGTAAGCTGTTTAGCTGTTGTTTATGCACTTAATACAGTTTGTTTGTAAGATCGTCGTGTATTGTTATCCTGTGTCTTGCATCGGTTAATTTGCGAACATTCATGGAGCGGTTAAGAGATTCAATACAACGTTACAAAGTAAGGTAATCTATAACTACATTGTTATTGAGGCTTTTTAAGAGGCGCAACCGTTTGTTTTTCCACTCTTGTTCGTTAACATTACTGTTCCGCGTTATACTGGACACTTTATGTTTCTGAATGAAGTGTGGAGTTGTTCAGTTGGAAAACGAGTTTTTATAACTAAGTTAACTTAAATCCGCAATTAACGTTATATGTGAACAGCACGAGACTGTAACTATTAATGTCTCTCACATCATATAATGTATGAGCTATGGATGTGGAGAATGAGTGATGAGCTTGCAATGTCAGTCAGTGCAGTGCGGCCTTTAGAGGACGTAAGTTACATGATACACGTCGAGTCTGTGAACACGCTCCTGATCTCATAAATCTCATTGAAGAGTGCTAATTCATCATACTATGAATTGTATCAGACGAGTGCATGGAGTTTCCTCTTTCTAATTAAACATAAAGTGGTTAATAGGGTCTTAAACAGCTCCTGCTGTCTCTGGATACTGTGCTTTTATAGCTGTTAATAAAGGTCTTTAGTCTGGTCAGTTGTCTTTACATGCACATCATTTCACATCTTCCGGTACTGATAGATGGTGCTTTTTTAATGCTACAACGTTTTAAATCATTATACAGCTTAGAAAGATATAGCTAAGATAAATATAAATAAGATAATATAAAAATGAAAAAAAAATTGGAGATTATGTGACAAAATATGCAGTGTTATTTCATTATTTAATTAAATATACATTATTTATAATGGTATATAAATTAAATTATACATAATTTTTAATCATATATAATAAATGTATAATTATAATTTGTTATGTTTATAGTTTATATTACATTAATACATATTACTGTGGGTTTTTTATTTACTACATATCAGACACCTTGAGATCTTAGCGCTGTTATAATACTATTCAATACAGTGCTATAAACAGTCATGCCAGCTCAGCCGGCTGCCAGAGAACCAGAGGAGGAGATGGAGACAGAGGCCGACCCGGAGGTTCCTCAAACTAATGGCGAGATGGAAGAGGAGCGAGATGGAGGAGAGGCAGAGGAGACAATGGAGGAGAGTGGAGAGGAGCGGGACAGCGACCTGGAGGAGAGTGAGCCAGAGGAGGAAGAGGAGGAAGAGGAAGAAAGTTCAGGTCTGCTGATTGAATGTTGCATAATTATGCTGAATGTTTTCTTATTAACTGTCTGCAATTATGTTGCAGCAGCTGTCAAATTGGTTGCATTGCATTTTGTTTTACTTTTTTTGGTAATTTTTGCATGACAATTGTCAATTTGACAAATCCTGCAACTTGACTGCATAGTAGGGGTTGCACCGACTAATCGACTAGTCGACTTCAATGCTCTGCCATGACGCTTTAAGCTTGACGTCGACTAGTCGCTGGTCCTATAGAGGGCGCAACAGGATAAGAAATCTTTGAAGGACTTCCACATTTACACTCCGTTTCCAAACAGTTCAAATTACAAATAAATGCATACTCTGAAAGCGCTCCAAAAGACATGTGTGATTATATTACTGGATGCTCGCATTGTGCTTTTGAATAGCACCCAGTGAAAGTTAAAAAGTGAATGTGAAGTGTGGCCAAGTATGCTGACCCATACTCAGAATTTGTGCTCTGCATTTAACCCATCCAAGTGCACACACACACAGTAGTGAACACACACACACACACACACACACACACACACACACACACACTCACACACACACACACACACACACACCGTGAACACACAGTTGGGGTTTGGTGCCTTGCTTCAGGGTCTCACCTCAGTCGTGGTATTGATGGTGGAAGAGAGCGCTGTACATTCACTCCCCCCACCTACAATCCCTGCCGGACCTGAGACTCGAACCCGCAACTTTCGGGTTACAACCTCCGACTCTCTATCCATTAGGCCATGACTGCCCCCAAATAGCCAAAATTGATCATATAGTGATGTGAAGTATAGGAATGTGAAGACTGACTGGAATTGATAGGAAAAGAGAACGAACAAAGAACAACATTGAATGAGAGTGAATTTTCTCTTTTTTAGAAATGGATGATGAAGATTGTGAGAGAAGACGATTACAGTGCCTAGATGAAATGTCTGACCTGGAAAAACAGTTCATGGAGTTAAAAGACAAGTAAGAATACGTCTTTCTGATTGGTTTAGGCTGGGTGGCATTTCATTTTTTTTGACCAATAGGAACAGGGCCGTCATCTGGGGTGGATGCCCACCAATACAAATAGTATATTCTATAGTGTATTGTTCTGACAAATTGTGTTGTTCTAAGAACTAAATTCTAGAGCCCTATAGATGATTTCTTTAATTTCAGGCTTTTTCAAGAACGTCTGAACCAGGTTAAAATGAAGCTGGACGAGGTTTTGACAGGAAAGGCTGGAGAGTACAGAGAACCCTTGGCAACACTGCAGCAGAACCTACAGCAGAGAACACAAGTGGCAGGTGACACACATCAGGACGCATATATCTGCTCTATGATATTTCTCTTACAAATGAACAGCAGGTCTCAGGTCAACTGTTAATTCTCCTCCTGTAGGTGTGTTCAGAGAACTTTGTCTGCAAGTGGTCAGACACAAACATGAATGTGAAGTGCAGGGGGCCAGACAACATCTAGAGGTAACACGGCTCAGCTGACCCACATATTTAGATGCAGCATCCTTACAAAAAGCTACTTCTGTGTTACCATGGTATTAAATGATGTGCCATATACATGTACCATGAAATTGACATGGTACTCCAGGGTATTTCAGAAAGTTCATGGTACAAAAAAGTTATTATGAAATTGGTACCATGCTTAAAACCTTGTTAATACCATAGTACTATTGTATGATTCAACAAACTTGCATACCTAGTAGTAATTCAACATTTAAATATTCAGATTCATACACAAACATGCACATACCACATTTATCATAATCTAGAAGTATCACAAAAAAACGCACCACAGTGAAAAAGCACTGCTGTAAATAAATACTTACATGTCTCTGCCAAAACAGTTGTGTTTGTTTGTTGACATTGCAGTGATGATCATGAATCAAATCGAGTCAGTGTTTATGTAATCAGTTGCGTGTTTCTCTAGAGTGAGAGGACACTCTTATTTGATGCCATGAAAACAGAACTGTTGGAGAAGATCCGCAGACTGGAGGAGGACAAACAGAGCGTAGACATCACCTCAGGTACCATACAAACACACACACACACACACACACACATACACACACACACACACACAAACACACACACACACACACA